CAACGTTCTTACCCACATGCCAACACTGACAGAAGTCACACCATCAGCTGATCAGGTACTCATCCATTTTAGGGGCTCTGCATGGTGAGTTTTCAAGACGTATATCGCGAGTTGTCTCTTTTAATACATAGAATGATACTTTCATAAAGAGTTCATAAAATCTCTAGCCTGGCTAATGGCAGACCACGTATCATTGAGAATGAGGCGTGGTCTGGAAACCACATGTTCAGTTTCTCGTATTTGAGGCGTGGTTTATGAATGCCCAGAGCCGTATTATTGGGTGCTACAAATGCTATCAAATGCGCCTGTACGAAGCTCATAGCTAATCGGGTCAATGATACCAGATGACGTATATAGAGCGACAGAAAATTAACGTAGACGATGAAGACGCCAATGGGTCAGGGATTTAGGAGATTTTATGTATACACAAAACGTGTTTCTCAATGTCAAGGATACTTTCTTGGGAGGACGGGTCTTTCCAAGTCATTTCTTTCAGAGGCTAGACGAGGCTCCTCTTCAGCATTCGGAGAACGCGTTAATGGAACAGGCTAGCAAGCGCACGTCATTGAGTCATTACATCAGTGAAAGGTTCACTTTCGGCGCTGCAAAAATAGTAGTGCTACTGGTTTGGTTGCTGTACCGCACTATTTAAACACACTTGACAGTCCTTATTTTGTCTCGTCAGCCCTCATAGAAACAAATAAATAAAAGTAAGGGTCGGGATAATGTATTGCGAGACGGTTGTTGTAGCGAATACAACTGTGTGAACTCTAACGCGAAGTGGAGGGGTCTTGAATCAGCCTGAAAGGTTTGTATTCTCTGTAACAACCGCCTCGCTATACATTTTCCCACTTATAACATGGCTACCTACCAAATAAATCAATAATTTGACACAAAATATTGATTTAAAAACGATTATATTACCGGAGTGAACAACTGTGTCCATAGCAACACGATCTAGCTATTAAAACACATGAAATGGTAAAATATATGATCAACCAAAAAATCTAACGTTATATGAAGTAAAAATTAAAAAAGTGAATCACCAGTAACAGGAAACAGCTTTTTTTTTTTTTTTTAAATGTGAAAAGTGTGACATTGACAAAAGGTTTTCAAAACACCCTCCTGCCACTGGTCAGACAAACAGCCCTTCCCCAAACCCCAAACTTTAGATTCAGAAGTCAAACACTCAAAAGTCAATGCAGAAAGCAGAAAAGAGCCACAGTTAACGGTCTTGGAGAGTCAGTCTGCCAATGGTTCATTTTACAGTTGTCTCAGCACTTTAAACTGGGAGAAGAGAAAGTATTTTAACACTGAAAACATTATTATGCAAATCAACTTTAAAGACGAGCATTTTATAGCTTTAAACTCTTCATCTCCAAAACAACGAAGATGGCAAGGCTAACAATGCTCATAAATAAATGATTCAGCAGCAGTTGTGTACACTGTACTGAAGCATTTAGCAGAAGCCACACACACACATCACTGCCAAACAACACTCCCAAATCCATTCCTTTCTTGCCCTCTGTAATACCTTGCATATGGGCAGAACAATCTTTATCCTGCGCGCTTCAAATTCCACTAGAAAAATCTAAGAAATGCAATTTATTAATATCTCCTTTCAAACGCTAATGTTTCATCCATACATAAATCATAAGACAGGGTTGCTTGTGCTCCAGAGAAAATAGAGAGAGAGAGAGAGAGAGAGAGAGAATTACAGTATTAAGGGAACAAGAGGAAGGCTTCTGTGTTCTTCTGAATGATCTGAATGAAATGGAAAAGGTCTCAACAAAGCAACAGAAGCTGAACCACGTTTTTATGGAGAATAAATATATGTCGGTCTGGGAAAACTGAAATAATTTAATTTATTCATGTGTACATTTAAATTTAACACTTTTAAAATGTATTTTTAGGGCTAGGGTGGGATGTATTGTATTGGATTAAAGGGATACTTCACCGCTGGCAAAATGGACTTTCAAAAAAAAAAAAAAAAAAAAAAACTTTTTAGGCTGCCTATTAAGTAGAAAGACAAAAAAATGAATCTGTACCTGACGAGTAAACAGAGACAAAAGGATGCCAAATAGTCCAAATGCATGTTGCTGTTGAAGGCCACTCCCACCAGTCTACTAAGGTTACACTTCATCAGTCAAACCTGCCTTGTTTTAGAAGGAAATACTCCTAAGCAAACTTTCAGGATACAAAGAATCGTAAACTCGGAGAGAATGAAATTTGAAAAATTTCAAATCTGATTCCAACCACATATGGAAGTGGTTTGATATGGGAGTCCAATCAGATTTTAACAGATGCGTCACAGTCTGAATTAGATTTCAAACTGTCATGTGTAGAGAACATTAGTGATGAAAATGCTGGAAATATTCATACAGTGTTCAAATGTTATGTCCAAGCAAAGGACCACCATTCTGAGACAGGGCGCTTTTTTTGAGAAAAATCTTTTTTGCCTGCAGTCTGAACATAGCTTGTCCTAAGAAATAAAAAAATTAATGTCCTAAGAAATTTTTTAAAAATGAATTATTGACTAGAATACAACAGGTCTTAAGACCCCTCATATAATTAAATATTGAGCAACACAATATTTTACTGGAGTAAAAAGTACATCAGGACACAACCTCAATGAACGGGTGTCCTCTTTTTGTCATCCCTTTTAGCAGTTCATAATACCTGACACATTTCATAACAACTTGTGTATTACTCTGTTCAATTAACAAAATGCACACAGAGCTGTCATTTTAGTTCAGACTCATTTCACACATAAATCTCCATTATATCAGGAGCTGTCAATGTGACCCCACTTTCCACATCCATAACAATAAATCCACATTTCCAACTAACGCAAAACAAACTATTGTACTACAGGTTTTATGAAAGAGTGGCAGTTTTTGTTGTCAGGTAGTGTTTAAAGACAAAATTACAATTAGAAAATGAAGGAGAATTCTATATGATTCATTAAAGGTGCTATATGTATTTTTTAGTGGCCTCTATCTGTGATGTTTCAGATTGCAACCAATTTTTACAAGAGCGCTCGTGCTCTTACATGTGCTCGAACAAAATCCGACCCGGAAACTTCACATAGAAATAGGAATACTGGCCTTCAGAGGTAATAGCAAAACCCGACAAGTGGATCATTGTAACGTGTGATTACAACCCCTCCACACACAGGCAATTAAAAAGGTTTCATTTTAGAAGAAAAGCTACATTTAGCACCTTTAAGAATTCAACGCTGCTTAAATGCTGAAATGCCAGTGGTGAAAGGTCAAATACGGGGTCAAATTCAAAGTCCCCCTGTAGTCAATAGTTTTATCCCTTAAAACTTATATTTGATCACAAAAATTACATATTTAAATGTTTTTTTTCCTTTAAAAATGTTTTTTTCATGCCTTAAAATAGTACATACCTTTTTTAGTACATGCAGATCAATGAATATGCAAATGATCCCCACCTCCACTCACTCACACCATGCAGCTCAAAGGCACTCATTGACGATCACACATTGACGTGATTGGTTACAAGGTAGTTTGTGACATCAGAAACACCAGCAATTTCAAACCGTGTTTTTGAGACTGTCTTTGGTTCACTGCGGTTTTAAGGGAGAAAATACTTTGAATTTGCACATGGTTTGTCTTAAAACACATTAAAAACACCACAACACTAAAAGCTTGATTTTCACCACAGGGGGACTTTAACACTTTTTTTTCTAAAGAGTGTTTTTAAAAAAAAAAAAAAAAAAAAAAAAAAAAAAAAAAGATGTTGTGAAATGTGTTTGTTTCAGCATTCTCACAGTGTGGCAAAGCCTTTTTCCAATTTCAAAAAACAATGTATTTATAGTGTATTTTGACTGAAAATGGGTCAAAATGAACCAAAGGCAATAGAAATGTTAACAGTGTGAAACAAAAGATGCAACTTTTAAGCATTTTATATAATCCAGAGTAATATGTTTGCTATTATAATGGTCACATTAGGTGCACAGCAGCATGGGTGAAGTGAAAAGTCACGTTCCCCAAGGACAAATCAGCTGAGTTTATTGAGGACAGTCCGGCGATGAAGTCTGATAAACACACTCATGTCTGACTAACCTTCCAGGATATCATGAGCCTCTATTGGCACAATCCCATTGCTTAAGTGATGGATTTTTTTTCAAGTGACCCCATTTTAGACACTGGATAGGTTACAAGGTTGTAAACTGCAAAAAGAAATTTCAACAGGATGTGTTAAACCATGTTTTTATTCTTGGAAGTATGACTGCTCAGCATTTACTGGGATGGTCCCATTTCTACTCTAGCTTTATGGGCTTTGAATTATTGAAAATGACTGCACTTTGCTGCTAAAAATAGATCTGTATATGTCAAATGACTGAAAACCATGGTCCTGCACTGAGATAAGCAACGTTTGTGCTTTTATTTCCCATCATGAAGAGGGAATGTGCCAGAAGTCATCAATACCAACGTAGCCTATAACATTTTAACAGTTTACAAAATAGGGAAGACATTAAAGTAATAAAAAACTTCGGTTATGCTTTATTTTATGGTGTCATCAACTCCTTTTTGCATTGTAATTATATAATTAAGTACCAAGTAATATTAATTAACTACGTGCTGTGTACTTATTATGGTTAGGATAAGAATAGGTTTTTTTGCATTTAATTATGCACACCAGTAATTTATTACTAGGCTACAGTAACATGTAATGTGTAACAAGGACACTAAAATAAAGAGTTACCTAAAGTTTTTATATGTTTTAACCAACTCTTTAAAACTAAAAATGTCTTATTAGAAGCAACATTTCTTTAAAATCAGCACAGAAAAGTTCCCCTGTGCGATTGTTGCTTCTTGTGCACGAGCAATTCAAACTGATGTCGAAGTAATTCTATCAGGCTGCGTTTGATTCAAAAGTTGCAGCATCTTCAACATTTATACCAAATACCGTTTTAGGTTAGTATTTTATTTTTCTCATATGTTAACCATATATATCCATATCCAGCCTACCTGCCAAGAACTTGAAGGAATCTCTTGAAATTTCCCCAGCCCGCCGAAGGTGTAACATCTGTACATATGATCCTGAGACTCTGAGCAGTGCCACAGGAGCCCGAAACTCACGGAGTCCTTGTTTTTCAGGAGGTCCTTCACTATCCATGCGGGAGAGATGAAACTGAAACTGCAAATCGCGACCAGGGAGGAGGACAGGAGCACCCAAAAACACCCGACACAGCTGAACATCCTCACGGCACCGTGGGGTAACGAGACCGGAGACAGATCGATTCCCAGCCCTTTCCAATTCCGATCAAACAGCGCGTGCATCTGGAGCGCGCTCACCCACTGTGTGACATCAGATGAGCACCACTAATCACATAAACAACACACATGAGTTGCCGATACGTTGAGAGTGCCACTGAGAGCCAGATCAGATGCACCAGTGAACTAGTGAGCGTACACAACTTTTCAGCTTAACGTAATTCCAGCACGATCCAGTTTAATACAGAAGATATTCCAGTTAATTCATCTGACTGAGAGGAGGCAGGTGGAGGACAAAAGACAACAGTCACACCCAGAGCTCTGAAAGCACTCTGAGCAGCCACAGCAGGTGCTCGATCACTATGTAGTCAGATCTGAATCCTATCCGCTTGTATTAATCACAGCCCACGTATAACCACCATCATCATCACCATCTTCCTCTCGACACTGAGTCGCAGCTCGCGCGCTGCAGGAGTGAGGGCACAAACTTACTGCGCTACAAGCCTGTCACAGTCACATGGATGTGGGCGTCACCGCCACTGCGAAGGTGTTCAGACGAGTTTTTGATTCATGAAAAACTGAATCAAATTGTATTTTTCCCCCAAAACCTGAAATTTATAATACCATCCATCATAATAGTTTTCGTGCCCTGTGTTTCGTTCGCCTGCCTAATTTCAACATACCCGCACCATTAAAGGCACATTAAATATAAGATGACAAAGTATAATCCAGAAATCTAAACAATAATAAAAACAAGTATGATGATTCATATTTGAGCTATCGTATTAGGAGTTTGAAGTGGAACATTTCCAAAAAGTGTGAAAGCGTCTTACACTGCTCTCTGGTGGTGATTTACCATATACCATGGATTTTTCCCTTTAAATATGAGAATATAGACACATTACATAGTTTAAATCATCAGAGAACAAACATCATGGATATTTCTATAATATACATGGCTAGAAATCACCCCTCGAGCCCCAACGGTAACATTGTGAATATGTGATGGGAGGAAAAAATATACACTCACCTGCGGCCACTTTATGCTGCTGAAGTTAACGCGAATATCTAATCAGCCAATCATATGGCAGCAACGGTAAATACGATTTGCTGAAGCAATCAGATAGAGAGCCAGATTGGGAAAAAAATGTAAAACAAACATAGCCTTTTTAAATCCATTTTTCAATACTCTATCATATTAACCATACACTAACTGGGTTATTGTTATTACCAGTCTAAACCCATCAGTGCGAAATATTAATGCATAGGCGATGTAACGTTTGCCTCACGTGGTTATTCACGGTCGTGTAGAGCCACCTATTGGACTTACCAGGTCACAACACACTTCAGGTAATTTCTGTAGCGTAGCAGCGGAGCGAAATGGACGAAGAAAAACTCATCAATGAAGTAGGGAGTAGTATGAAGGAGTAGGGAGTAATCAATGAAGTAGTTGCTTAGACAACCATTACAACAAAATAACAGACTTAACAAGGTGATAGACACGTTTACTTGGTTAATAACGTTCAAACATCAGCTATTTTATTCACTTAACATAAAATATACATCCAGTTTAAACTCACCCATCTTGCAGCTCTTGACTTCTACCAGGAGTTGATTCAAAACTGAGCTCGTCCGAATAGAATGTGCGCGTCCGGTGTGCGATACCTGTGAATTGTTCTAGACGTGGCGCGACGCGGCGCTGCACTGCGCGCCAGGTGTGCGACCCCCTTAAGTCCCTCCCCTTCCGGTCGACCACAAAGACTACAAACCCCAAAGGCGCACATTTTCTCCCAATGAATGAAGCTAACTTTACTGAGGCTGTCTGTCATTGTTTCTACAGTCTTCCGTTATAATCGTAACGTTACGCCGTCCTACCTGAGTGTTTTGTACGAGACTGCACACACACGAGCAGCAGATCTCGTTTCTCTTCCCGGGAGATGTAGTTCATAGAGCGATTTTCACATAAAACTAAATGTTTCTCTTCTGTTGTATGACAAACTGCGACGTTTTTGACTTTCAGAATTATCTTTTAAATGGACAAACATCATATGTGTAATTGAGGGCACAGTTCAGACGGAATAAAAAGATAAGTTGTCTCTCGCCATTGACTACCATTCATATTTTTTCCGAAATAAGGTCCCATGAGCCGGAAGCGGAGGGGCGGGACTTAGGCTCTCCATTGAGGTGATTTAAAGGGATAACTTAGTTCTCAAAAATAAAAATTCTGTCATTAATTACTCGTCTTCATTTTCCAAACTCTTTCGTTCATTTTTGGAACACAAATGAAGATATTTTTAACGAAATCTGAGCGATTTCTGTCCCATTTTTGTACCTCCATTGACAGCTACGCACTTTGGTGTTTCAAAAAGTTTATTGAGATCGTAAAACTAAACCATATGAATTGAGCGGTTCGGTCCATATATGCTGAAGAGACACTATTGCTTTATATGATGAAAGGATTGAATTTATGCTTTTGTTCACAAATAAACATTCATCAACTCACACATCAGTTGTGGTAAACGCATGTTCGCTTGAAGTGCAAGAACAAATGAGGTTCATTCTCGTGTTAAACAGCCCGTTTGAGCTTCTGCAAGAACCAATGACTCGAGGTTTGCTTTCCCATGTCAAGCAGATTCATTTGAGCTTCTTTTATGTTCACTAATCAATGTTTAAATAAAAGCATAAATTAAATCTGTTCATAAGCAATGGAGTCTCTTCACAATAATTGGACTAAACCAATCAATTCATATATATTTTTTCTCTTTATGAACTTTTTGAAACATTCAAGGGGACAGCGTAGCAATGGAGGGACAGAAAGCTGTCAGATTTTATCAACAAGATCTTCATTTGTGAAGATGAATGAAAGTCTTACGGGTTTGGAACGACTTGAGGGTGAGTAATTACTGACAGTATTTTCATTTTTGGGTGAACTAACCCTTCAAGTGACTTACAGAATGGTTGTTGGTGCCAGACAGGCTGACCTGAGTATTTCAGACACTGCTGATCTCCTGTGATTTTCAAGCAGCCATCTATAGAGTTTACAGGAAATGGTCAGAAAAAGAGAAAATATCCAGTGAGCAGCAGTTCTGTTGGCGAAAATGCCTTGCTGATGCCAGAGATCAGAGGAGAATGGCCAGACTGGTTCAAGCTAATAGAAAGGCAACAGTAACTCAAGATAACCACTCGTCAGCAAAAGAGTGTCTCTGAAAGCAGAAGAACTCAGCTCAGAACAGGAATCTGAGGCGACAATTCAAGCTACTGTTCATTTAAACCCCAGTCTACCTGAGTATTGTTGCTGACCAATGACCATGTCCATCCCTTTATGACGACAGTGCACCTATCTTCTGATTGATACTTCCAGCATGATAGCACGTCACAAAGCTCAAATCCTCTCAAACTGGTTTCTTGAACATGGCAATGAGTTCACTTTACTCAAATGGTCTCCACAGTCACCAGATCTTAACCCAATTGACCACATTTGGGATGTGCTGGAGCAGAGATTCAAATCATGGATGTGCAGCAGACAAATCTGCAGCAACTACATGTCAATGTGAACCAAAATCTATGCCACTAAAGATTAAGCCAGTTCTGATGGCAAAATTGAGTCCAACCCGGCACTAGCAAGGTGTACCTAATAAAGTGTCCGGTGAGTGTATTTTAAAGGAGTAGTTCACTTTTGAAAAAACTTTTGCTGATAATTTACTCACCCCCATGTCATCCAAGATGTCCACGTCTTTCTTTCTTCAGTCGAAAAGAAATTAAGGTTTTTGATGAAAACATTCCAGGATTTTTCTCCATATAATGGACTTCAATTGGAACGAAACAGTTCAAGGTCCAAAAGACAGTTTCAGTGCAAACTGTTCAAAGGGCTTTAAATGATTCCAGATGATGAATAAGCGAAACGATCGCTCATTTAATAAATAAATAACAAAGTTTAAGTTTTATAAGCTCAAATGGTTGCCTTGATCTGTTCTGTGATGCGCATTCGTGACTCTCCTGTTTGAACTCGTTCATCAAAATGAAGGAATCTTTTTCCGAGTCAATTCGTTCGTTTAATTAACCGAATAACTCAGAAAAAGATTTGTTCGTTTTGATGAACGAGTTCGAACAGGAGAGTCACAAACGTGCATCACAGAACAGAGCAAGGCGAGCATTTGAGCTAATAAAACTTAAACTTTGTTATTTATTTATTAAATGAGCGATTGTTTCGCTTGATAAGACCCTTATTCATCATCTGGAATAGTTTAAAGCCCTTTAAAGCTGGAATATTTTCATCAAAAACCTTAATTTCTTTTCGACTGAAGAAAGAATGACATCGTGGATGGCATGGGGGTAAGTAAATTATCAGCAAAAGTTTTCTCGAAAGTGAACTACTCCTTTAATGCTTTTTGCATTTTCTTTCAAAACCTTTGTGATGGAACTAATGTGAGGTGGAAAGCAAAACAATATTTCAATGCTTTTTTTTGGTATTTAACCGTCGATGAACTGTCGTGCCAAAACAGTAGCCAATGAGAACTTTTCTCTGTAAGCCCCGCCTACACAATTTAAATGCATGCTTTTTATTTATCTAAAATTGACTTTAGCATAGCTTAATTCATTTTTAACTGAGTTATGCTCAATACTTGGGCCCAAATCCAGTTTCACAGTGCATATCAGTATATCCTGCCTACACAGGCAAAGACAAATACAAAAGACAAACACTTAGTCAAGGGACGTTTCAACATTATATGTATTTAAATCAAACACATTTAAATATATTATAGATTAAGTACACATTTATGTCAGAAAACATATTAGTGGTACATAGTACCAAAAGTCGTTTGTCTGTTTCTCGTCCACATCTCAATGAGGTCCAAAGCAATAACTTCATGTCCAAGTACGCGATTCAAAAACAGTCATCATTGAGATTTGCTTAGACAGATTTTTGACATATCATACAAAAAAAAAAAGACAATCACCATAAAAAGAGCTAACATTAATATATGGCGGTAAACCAGGAATCCACATTTATATAGAACGGGGATAAACATTGCAGTTCAGTTTGCGTATCTCTACAGTCTAGAATCAGGTTTTAGATGAAGTTCTGCAGTCCGGGAACATTCTCCTGTTCCCATTCCAGTTTCAAACGTAACATCAGTCACTTCGGCTCCATGAGAGCGGGACAGAACAGTCTCAGACACTGATTGACTTACATCCACTATGGCATACCATAAAACTGTACATAGCCACCTTGGGGATTTCTGCATTTTTGTTTTTCTCTTTATTTGTACTAAAAAAGGACCTAAGCACTTAACAGCCACTCTTTAAAAAGGTGAATGAAAAAGAAAGATAAAAGAGAAGTGTGAGATAAGAACGGAAAAATCGTAGTAAACTAGTCACCGCCACTTCGTAGACCAGTTCCAGTTCAGATTCCCGTGTGCTTAACGTCGGTCGACATGGTAAAAGCTAAACGCGACAGCGA